TTAAGAATAGAAAACACCTCAGAGAAGAAATTGAAAGTAGATATTAAGGCCGTGGTTGGTTTGTCGTTTTCAGCCCATTTTCCGTTTTCCGTTTTCGAAAATGCGGAAAACGCGTTTGGTCCGTCATTTTCAAAAACGCATTTTCGAAAACGAGTTAAAATTTATAACTGAAAACACAAAACAACTTTTTAACATTTTCAATTATAAATGTCGAAAAAGCTCAAAACGCTCAAAACGGGCCGTTTTAGGGGAAAACTAAAAATCGTTTTGAAAATGAAAATGGAAACCATCAGCACCCTAAGCATCTACAAAATACAAACTCGAAGTCACTTGGATATAATGAAAGGATTTCAATTAAGAAATTAACACTAGAGGAAAAATACACATCGGCTACAAGCACTTAGTGATGAGCTGGTAAAGGAAACTGTAAGTACATTTCATCAAGGTTCAAACAAAGTCAAATACTAACCAATGGAAAAAGCCAAAAAGGACAAACTCAAGCGGTTCAAAGAGCAATAAAATGTGGGCAAAAGCCTCACCAAGTACCGACATGGACCGAGATATTGCCATGAGCATTTCATAGATAGTCTAGTCAATGAAAGTGAAGATTCCAGGTGAAGAAGTATCATAATGAAATAGGAACAAGTTGGCTATTCTATGAAGAACGACATACACCATATGGTAAACTACACTCTCTCAAGCCCCTGTAACTTCAAGAGAAAGGGCGCCTCCTCCAAAAGTGTGTCTAGTGACTGGGTCAGGGAAATTGGTTACCAAACAAAAAACATCTCCACAAAAGCTAATCATAACAATTATTTCACTTGTTTGAAACAACTCAGGCCATAGAATAATTTGCTTCACAACCGACGCAGACTGAAAAACTTGTTATAGATAAAAACTGGATGGATCATGATTTGCATTCCTTATAATTCAAATATGTATCAAGTAGCATGTTTCTACAAGAGCTATGCAGCACGATATGCATCCATAATTTCAGGCAAATCATTATTATACTTGTGCACAAACCTTTTGAGGAATTGCTCATCAGTACATGCCAAAACGTTTGCGAGAGAATATTTCTTGACCAAACCTTTCTCCATCAACATCTTAATCACACGACACCTTGGTATGATCCTCCTCTCCATGTTGTAAAAGAGGACAATTGGGGATCGGGCAACATTGGCAGGAGAACAGCTCATCTCCTTTACATAAAACTCCATTCCCCTCATAATTTTTTCCTCGGACAACTTCATAAAGAAAGGATGTGATCTAAATGCCGATAGGATCTCAGTATCTGACAGACCGAACCTCCTATAAACCTTGATTCTGCTGCCCCATGCCTGCTCGCTCATTTCACACAACACATAAATTGCCCGAATAAATATCATCGTCGAGGGGTCAAATCCCATTTTAATTGCTTTGTCCACACTCCTCTTAAACTTATCACATTTCATTTGCAGTGAATGAGGGTAGCGAGTTAAAATGTATGAGATAAAGCTCTGTGGTACCCCAGCCTGTGCCAATAGCTCTACATTGGACACCATTATATTCAAATTGCAAGAAAAAATTCTAGGACTGCGCTTTATGGTCCGTACAATATCTTCGTCAGAATTCACTAAAGTCTTGAGATAATTATAACAGGGGATAAACTGTTTTTCAATGCTTCCTGACAACAATGCAGGATTGACCATAATAACTTTTGGCAGTTCAGAGGTCGAGAGTCCAATAGAGAGAAAGAATTTGAGTTTAGGCAAAATATTGTTCTGGAGACTGAATGAGAAAATATTTGGGAGTAACTTGGCAAGTATAGAAATCTGGGTATCACTGAATTCATAATTTTCCAGAATAGCACGGAAATTTTCAACCTTTTCCGGTTTAATCACAGAAGGAGCCCACACATTACGAAAAGAAATACCCAGTGAGGATTTGTACAAGCAAGAATCACCCAGATGCCTACGGAATGGGAATACTGCTTTATAGAGTAAACCGGACATGGTTCAATACATAAATGATATCACGGCTGATGAAGATAAATTGTGGATGAACTCACCCGTTCTTAGGAATACAAATCTGCGTTTCAACCCGCTCTCTGAAGATAGTTCTTCAAGAATTTACAGATTTTCCGCTGAAAGAGACGGGTGACTTGGTGGGTTCTCCACACTGACACTGCGTATATTGAGGAATTGCTGGTGAAAACGGCAGGCGGGAAGCGCAGCGCGATGGTCGACGGGCAGCCAAGTTGGAGAAGGGTTTAGGTGTTTAAACCCAAACACAATCGCTTTTGTTTGTTTGCCCAACAAGACCCGGCTGTTAACTCGGCGTTTTATAAATGGTGTTATACCTTATCACTATTTGCTCCCTCAAAAATTAAATGATTACCCAATGCTCATTCAAATATTCATTAGTTTATACATCTTTAATTTCAATCTTTTTTTTATTTACAAAATACAAATTTTCGATAACATGACTATGATTTACACATTTTGTATATCACGTCATTTTTTTAT